CAAGGTCAAAGACCTCTTCAGGATTTTTTTTTTACTATTTTTTCATACTCAGCGCATCAAAAAACATGTATATACATATTTTGAAGCTTACATAGCAAAAAAAATTTGACCTTGAAATGATGATTTTCAAGGTCAAGGACACATTTGAAACTTTTTTTTACTATTTTTCTGTTATTAAGTACATCAATTTCACCTTAAAATTATCAAATATTTTGTGTTCGTTGGGTGGTCGAAATATCGACCAACCCCGTCCTCTAAAGGTTAAAAATATTGTTATAAAGTATAGTGAAAAAACAAAAAAAGATAATATGTACATACATTTTTTTTTATTGATAACAATGTATATATATACATTTATTTAATAATTAACAATATGACACAGGGCACAAAGCGAGGTGTATCGACTGCAGAACCGTATTGAAGTGATGGAAGCTGATAAGGATCGGCTTGAGCTGGAAGCAGAGAAACAGCAAATGTTGGCAGCCAAGTCACGCGAAGAATCTCGCAAAGCCCAAGAAGAGCTTTCTCGGGTGCAAGAGATGTACGATCGCGCAGCGCTGCAACTCGGTCGTACCAAGGAACACGAAGAAAAGTCAAAAGAAAACATCGATCGACTAAGCGTCGATTTAGAAATGGTGCGAGAGCGTTACGAGAAATCGCAGATCGAATTGCGACGTTTGCAGAACGAGCGTGAAAAATTAGTCGCAGACAATGAACGCATCAGTTTTGAACTGGAACGCGCACACTCGCAATTGAACAAAGCACAGGCTGCAACGGAAAAGACACAAGAAGAGCTGGCACGTATGCAGCTGGAAATTGAAAAGATGTACGAGAAACATGATCGTCAGCAAACTGAAGTAAGAAAGGCGCAGGCGGAAGCGGAACGGCTGCGAACTGAGGCAGAGAGCGCGCGCGAGGAATGCGAGAGATACGCGACCCGTTTTGGCAAGTATCAAGAGAACCAAGAACGACAGAAAGAGGAGCACGAGTGGGCAAAGCTGGAAGTAGAACGATTACGGGATCGTTTGGAGAAGGCGCTGGCAGAACTCGAGCGAGCACGGAAGGCCGAACAGGATGCTTCAAGACTGCGCGCCGATCTGGAGCGTGCGGAGGGTGTGCGAGGTAAATATCAGTACGAGCAGGAGAAGTGGCAAAATGAGGGTAGTAGGCTACAGCAGGAAGTAGAGAAATTGCGCGAGCGGCTTGAAAATCGCGACACCGAGCTCAAAAGAACGCAATCCAGTAACGCCGAGCTCGAGGCAAAGCTGCATGAAGCGCAGCTTCAACTCGAGCGGGCGCGTGACGAGACTGGCAAGGCAACAGCACAACAAGAGCGCAACCGCTCGGAGATTGAGCGCGCGAGAATCGAAGCCGAGAAAATTCGCGATCGGCATGACAAGCTAAAAGCGCGAGCAGATGTCTTAGAAGCAGATAATGAAAAGCTACGCGTCGAAATTGTGCGACTCGAACGACTGATGCAGACAGAAGGTAAAACGAGATCAGAGAGTGCGAGTATTGAAGTAGAACGTCTGCGAGCCAGTCTAGACAAGGCGATTGTGGCGCGAGATCAGGTTGAGCTTGAGGCCGGTAGACTCGCAAAAGAACTCGAGAAAGCGCATTTGCAGACTGCGAAATATCAGGAAACCGCAGAAAACAGCAAGAAAGAACTCGAACGTCTTGTCGCGGATGTGCAGTTACTGCGTGAAGAACGCGAGACGCTACGACAAGAATTGCGCCGAGTACAACAGCAGCAACAGCAGCAACAGCAACAACAACAAATCGCTGGCGGTGAAGAGCTTGCCCGGTTACAATACGAACTGCAAGTTGCTCAGCGTGATCGCGACAAGATGGCAGCGATTTTCGAGAATCGAGAAAAGCACTCGGAAAAGATGAAAGAGAAACTGGAGGCGGACGCAAAACAACTGCAGATTGAGCGTGACCAGTTAGTGATACAATTGGAGAAATCACAGGAAATGCTGGTAAACTTCCAACAAGAGCTGAGTGCTAACGAAGCCGAATTAGAGCGACAACGTGAGGAGGCTCGTCGTCTTCAGCAACGAGCTCACGCGCAGACGCCCGATCGTATCGCTAAAGAAGCGCTTGACGCGCAAATGCGCGAGGTGCAGCGTCTTCAGCAACAGATGCAAAGCCTTCAGCAAACGCAACAAAAAGAGCGGCAACGTGCCGAGCAGGCAGAAAAGCGGGTACAAGAGTTACAGAAGCAACTGACATCGCGTGGTACCGAAACTGCGCAAGCCGATGCGGCTCAGCTCGAGCAGTGGCGAAAGTTATGCGAGACAGAACGACAGCGAGCGGACACAGCCGAGCGCGAAGCCGGCGAGTTGCAGAAACGGATACAAGCGACCGAACGGCAGCTTCACGCGCAGCAACAGCAGATCCAACAGATGCAGGTTACGATGCAACAACAGCAGCAGCAACTACAACAACCTCAACCGACTATACAGCAAAATGACCAAGAGATCAACAGACTAAGAAAAGAGCTCGAACGCGCACACGAGGAGATTAAACAGGCTACCGTGGAACGTGAGCGATTTCAAGCACAGCTCGAGATGTTGTGTCAGGAATTGGAGAAAAATCAGGTTAGCGATCACCGCAACAGCGGCGGCATCAATGTTCGCTTGCATGTGTTGCTGATAAACATTTCACTTTTGTTATCCATATCACTATTTCCATCACAATTATTACTATCATTATCACTAATAATTCTCCGCGCACTCTACACGCATTCTTGAATTTATTCCAAAATAATTCAGTCGATTGTTGTGTCAAAAAAAGAAAAAAGAATACCTTTTTTCTTTTTTCTCTAGCGAGAAGACCAACAAACTTGATAAACTCTACATATCACAAGAAAAAATAAGATATACATTCATGTTTTTATGTATATTTGTGTGTATGTATGTGAAAATTTTACGCGTGAAAATCAACCAGCCACATTACATTACTCATGCAGCTTATCACAATCATCACTTTTTATTCAGTAGCAATCATTCTTTCTTTAAATCCTATTCCTTTGGCAATTCTTCTAAACACTGTTATTTTTCGCTCTCCTTGCTATTAAATACATTGTTCATTTTTCTAATTATTATGATTATCGTCTTTCTTATTATTTTGCGTTGTTTGTATTTTTAGTTTTGTGTTTTAGCATTATTCTTTTTATTATTATTGTTATTATTGTTATATCTTTAGTTACCCATCGATGTTGTAATAATTATTGTTGTTGTTATTATAATGACAAAGAAAACGCGATAAAAAAAGAACAACAGAGATATGAAGTAAATGAAATAAAAAATGCATGTACAGGGTGGCCACTGAAAGACTGAAGGGTTTGAAAAAGTCATAACTTGTTCATTTTAAGTCTTGTTTATTTTTTTTGTAGGTTATAGAGCATCTCTTGGAGATTAAAATGACTACGTATGATGTCCAGCAACGAGTAAATCTCGTGAGTTTTTCTATTCCAGTGAAAGATAAATTATCAAAACTCAGAGGAAATATCGGCAACATTTTAATGTTAGAGTATCTCCTAGCAATAACATGATTCGGAACCTAATCGCCCGGTTTGAAAGAACTAAATCAGTCGGCGATCTTCCGGGAAGAGGTCCTAAGCGCACTGTACGATCTGACGCAGTAAATGTTGCCGATATTTTCTCTGAGTTTTTATAATTGATCTTTTACTGAAATAGAAAAACTCAATGAGTTGCTAGACATCATACGTAGCCATTTTAATCTCCAAGGAGTTTATAAGGAATGCTTTAACCTACAAAAAAAAAAAATAAAAAAGATTGAAAATGAACAAGTTATGACTTTTTCAAACCCTTCAGTCTTTCAGTGACTACCCTGTATAAGGTAGTTGACTCAGTAGTCGATCACTTACAAAGTTTTGTTAGTGAGAAGTGTCTGTTCTTTTAGCGAAAAATTACTTTTAAACTGAAGAAAAAGGAAGAAGTTGTTTTTAAATAGTCAATTTTTTTATACATTATTTAAAGTAGTGATATTGAAAAAAAGTCTTTAAAAAATATATTTATTCTTGAAAATTAATTTTTAATAATAAGATCCGAGGTCCGTAGTAGTCACCATTTTACAACTGGGAGCAATTATCGATAGGGTAGTACGACCCAGTTGTCGATTACACATTGACAGCAAAAGATGTTAAGTGTTAAGCAGTTAAATGAAAAAACAAAATTGATTAGGCAGAGTGATAAAATTTGAAAGTAATAGATTCATTTACCGAGTTTTTTTTTTATTTTAATTTCAAATACTTTCTGACCTTCGTTTCATGTGTGTAGCATGTGTACTTAACCTTTTACTTGCGAATGAAGTGTGGCATACAGTATTTTAAATTCTTTATTTGCAGTACGCAGAGATTTTCCATTTCCTACTGCTTCCACTGCTTTTTTAATTTTAATCATCATTATTGTCTATTGTAGTTTGTTTGTTTTACACGTGAAAAGAAAATAAAAGTTGTAATCAAGAATAGGACGTTGTAGCGCGACAGTTCGATGCAAAAGTTTTATGTCTGAGTATAGGTTAAGAAACCCTACTTCTAGCAGTACCGACCGAAAACTTTTGTACAGTCTGCCCTCGTACACAGAGAGAGTATCTGTTTCAATGCACACACACTATGAAATATTGTCTAGAGTGACGATCTGGCAACGTTCTTATTCGCTCTCACACGCTAAATAACAGAAAAACTTCAGTTCTTTTTGTTATTATATCGTTAAAACTAAACGGTCAATCATTTTGATTTTTTTCTAACGTTCTTAAGGGTCTCTTCTGCCATATATCCGTTTTTGATCACTCTCTTGTTATTCTTTGTTATTATAGAATTAAAAGTACACAATTTTTGTACGAATTGTGTATACACTACATAGGAAAAGTATAATCTTTGGAACCAATTATCATAAAACAATATCAATAAAACTTAACCAGCGTGTAAATATTACATTTATTAACGTATATCCAAAGTTTCAACTTTTTCTTGTTAAATGCGATTCGCGCTACAACGTTCTTAAGTATGAAAAACGGGACGATATTGTCTCGATCACTTAATAAATAATATTTTTAAAATATAAAATTTAAGTTACTTTTTTCTGACTACTTATGCTGACCATATTAAACTCTTACGAACGTTTTATACTTGCAAAAAGAATTCTTTTTTAGTTTTTAGAGACTTTTATTTCACTCGTCCGTTAGCGTGAAGCTTACCGAGAAGGTAAGAACACCCAAAAATCTTACACAAGCCGACACTTAATATAATTTATTTCCTACGAATGGCGTTGCTTATGCTTTTCAAACTGATCACAATAATAACTTTAAAAACTTGTATTATATTATTTAATTTTTTAAATACAGACATATATAACTAAACATGTAAAAATCCTACTTATTTATAGATGTAATCAACTATTGGGTATTAATCGACTATTAAATCAATTGCTTTAGTTTATAAAAGAAAACAGTAAAGTTTTATATTTTCATGCGCTTGCTTCTCTACATTATTACTACTATATCTCTATTTGACACTATCATTATTATTATAAGTATTAGTGATATTATTATTAGTATTAATATTAGTATTATATTATATTAGTATATATTATATTATATTATATCACATCACTTCACGTCACATCACGTCACATCACGTCACGTTACGTCACGTAACGTCACATCACATATATTATATATCATATATATCATATATATTATGTATCATATATATCATATATCATATCATATGATATATGATATATCGTATTGTATCGTATCGTATCGTATCGTATATCATATCATATCATATTATATAGATGCATCTATGTCACGTGTTAAACGTGACTCCCAAAAGTAATTGCAAACATTGTGTTGAATTCATGAGATAAAGAAATATCGTTTCATTCTTTCTAGAGTGTCTGCAATTCTTTATATAATAATTCTATGCATTGTTTATTCACATACTTACGACAAAAAGTTTGAAAACGATATTGTCTTCTATTTGTTTGATGGACTTTAAATGATAGTTCGTGTGTGTGTGTGTGTGTGTGTGTGTGTGTGTGCGCGCGCGCGCAGAGATTTAGATCATTCGTACACTTTATTTAAAATGAGAAAAGTAGTAGTTTTGACCATTTTTTTAGACAAATGTTGTTGGGGAGTAAGTAATGGATTAAATAATGCACATAAGCATATGCAATTGCTCTTGAGTGGTGTCATAAAGAACATGTCAAGATCGATTTAAATTTTTTAAATGGAAACCGGTATATTTAATTGCATATCCTTGTAGCTGACGTCAAGGTGTTTTTGAAATATTGATTACAAATTCTTGTTAGTTAAGATCCTAAGTTATAAGATTTCAAAATTTTAGTACTACCAGCGTTAGCATTATCTAAGATACTGTATGAAGATCGCACGGTCGGATTTACATCTTCTCGGAGTGCTTGATTAATATGAGTTCTCAAAGAAAAATAAATTCAACCGTGCGACCTCTACACGGTACATCTTGGGTAATGCTAACTCCGGCGGTACTGGAAATTTTAAAGTCTCATAACTCAGGAAGATCTTACCTGAAAAGAGTTAGTAACCAATGTTTCGAAAACACTTTGACGTCAGGAATAAGAATATGTAATGAAATACATGAGTTCCCATTAAAAAAATTCAAATCGACTTTGACATGATCTTTGTGACGCCACCTAAAGTCAATCGCATATACCTATGTAATGCATTACTTAATTCCCAACAACTTTTGTCTAAACCATTTTTCAAAATAACCACTTTCTTCCTTTTTAAATAAAGTGTACGGGTGGTTTGAAACACCCTGTATTTACAGAGTGTCCGACAATTGATGTACAATCTCTCGTAGGCAGGTAAAAAAAGTAACACTAAGTTAAAAAGTTCTATACTATTTAGTATAGTATATATGTTGCAAAATTCGCAATAGTTACCAAGATCTTAATTAACAAAGATCCGCGAACAAGCACGCTGTCTTACGCGCGTAAGCCCGTAATATAACTAATAGAACAGCATATATTATAGCACATACATAATAAAAGGTAACCGCGGGAAGCGCGCCGAGTTGTCTTACGCATGTAGACAGCCCGAAGCATGCTTCGCGGATCTTTGTTAATTAAGATCTCGGTGACTATTGCAAATCTCGCAAAATGTATAGAACTTTTCGACCCAGGTTTACTCTTTCTACCTGCTTACGAGAGATTGTATACTAATTGTCTGGTACCCTGTACACATGTACTTGTATTTCTTATTGTGTAGATTGTTTTTTTACTTGCAATGTTTTTTGTTCTGACATCTCTCTATATGTAAATATACATATATATCGCTGTATAAATACTAAATATGGAGGAGTTTATGTCGTATTTTACAATTGTTGTGTTGTTATTATTATCATCAGTATTTTATTATTGTTATTATTATATATCACGCATTAATATAATTCGTTAAATAGATAACAAACGTTATGCTACTTTCGATTTCTTTCAAAATTTCTAATTGTGATAACAACTAAAAAATAAAAATTACTTGGAAAAATTAGTGCCACTAGCGTTTTATTTTGCAAGAAACGGATACGACGAGAGTTTACGTATACCTTGCTGTACAATCAAGTTGCACTTAAGATGCATTTTTACGTCTCGCTGAAACTGACTGTTTGAGCAACAAAAAAAGTCACATGATGATTTTTCTCGCTGAACTATTCAACGTTTTTTGTATATGAAAAAGATTAGAGCGACAAAAGTAAAAGATAGATTTAGCGTTGTTTGCGTTTTGTTGACGCTTATTTATATATATTTTTACTTCTTCATCTTCATTTTTTTGAATTAAATTAGTTCATTTTTATATCATTTTTCAAACGTTTTTCGGAAATTCTGCAAAGTTATGTGTCTTTGGTATACATTGTCAAGATTGTGTTTGAAAACACCATTCGTGTGTACATAAGCATCATTCTATCTTTGTTTTACATTTATTACAATAAACGATAAAGATAAATCGCACACGAGTAGTGTTTCTGAACGCAGCTTAGTACATCACAGCGTTTGAGCAACAATGCTTTGTAATTGAACTGGTTCCAACTACAAAATTGTAGCCGCTGGAATACGAGCAACAAATCAAAGTTATCACGTGACTCTTCTTGTCGTTCAAACATTTAGTTTCAGCGGTATGTGAAATTGTACCTTTAGGAAATTAAGATTCACACGCAAACAAAGCATATAGTATAGCAGTTTTGAACGCAAATAGACAGTCATTGAGTATGCATTTTGGAATGGTTATCATTATTATTACTTTTATGACACAATCTAAGCTTCTCTTTTTCTTTTTTGAGAAGCTATTCTTTTTTTTTCTTTCTTTGTCTAGCAGTTGATTACAAATTAAAAACACAAAACAAAAAAAAATATTATGCATGCGACAAATGTAAATAAAAGAGTACGCTATGTCAAATTTCTATGTAAATGCAGGTTGATTTGCACGAGACGAAACAGAAACTTCATCAAGCTGGAGCTGCGAAAATTGGCGCCGATCTTACTACTCAGGAGAGGAAACAGTTAGAGGAACAAAGACGACAATTAGAAGAGCAGAAAAAACAAATAGAGGAAAAGATGAAGTCCGTAGATCAGAAAGCTAGATCAATAGAAGAGAAGGAGAAGACGCTCCAAAGTCTTGATCAGGATATCAAGAAGAGGAAGACGAGATTGGATCAACTCGAGCAGCAGTTACAAAAGGTAATCTCATCTACTTTGCTAAGACAAGTTTTAGCTTTAATATGTATTATTATGTATAATAAAACGTAAAGTAATTGATAAATATTCAGAACAATATATTATAGATAGCAATCTCACACAGAATGAAAAACTATAGAAACTGTTATATTCTGGTCTTCGATTACGGTCGGGTTTCTGCGGAGGAACGCAACTGACACACGACACCCTTGTGTGTTCTATCCCGACACACTAACCTAATGAGATAAGTCAAGCATGCGGGTCGAGTAAGTCTGTTCGGTAACGCAGATAAGTCAGGAGTTTGCCAATACTACTTGGCTAATGTCTTCTCACTTGTCGGTTCCTTTTTAGGTTTTAAACGCGAGTCTAATTTACCTGGGACGGAATCTAGCGATCGCGTAATGAGATTACAGAAACGTATGTGTTGGAGGAAGGTCCTAGGTTTAATTACTTAAAGTCGTTTTTACTTTTACAAACATATAAATCATTCTTTATTCAACAAAGTAACATTTAGAGTTTATCAAAAAAATATTCTTATGCAAATACAAATAATGTGAGTGTGTTTACGTGAGGCGAACTCACAAGAAGAGACTACGACGTTGTACCAATCGATTTGGACGAAATTTATAGGATCGATAGATGACTATGTGGAGTATTGCACAGTAAAGTAATAAGACGCAGCTCTCAAGCATTCGCGAGAAAATCGAATTTGAAAGTTTCGAGTTACCTTATGAAGATCAAAAAGCACGGTAGTGGTTTGCTCCAAGTTTCATGCGCAACGAAGTTTGCGCGCAAACGGCGCGAAGCACAACGTGCTTCTATTACGCAAGATTTAGCTATTTGAGGAGTAGGGAGATTTTCACGGAATAATATTTCGATAACCACTGAATCGATCACTATTCTTTTAATTTTAATCAATTCAGAACAAAACATGATAAAAAATATTGTTGCGTTTTTTGTGTCCTAATCGAAGATACTTGACAATAACGTTTTAACAGTGAGAAATTCACGTTTTTATAGTCGTCGTGGAATCAGAATGTGTGCATGTTTGTGTGCCTGCTAACAGATGGCATACATGTACGCGCACGCTAAAAGAAAAAAGAGAAAGAAAGACAGGAAGTGTGAGTTAGAGAGAGAAAGAAAGAATCAAGAAGCACGGTAGTGATGGTAATGTTTCGAGTCATTTCAAGTTCACCACACAAGAAATCTTCCGTAACGCGTTATACGTTATACGTTATAATTAAGTATGACTATAAACTTAGCCTTGTTATGTTTTATATTATATATAAGTAAAATCTAAGTTTACGGCTAGTACTTACTAACAAAACGTAACGCGTTACGAAAGAATTTGTGCGGTGGATCTTCACGCGCAATGAAGTCGAATCGAAATCGTGAGTGCTTGTGATTGTGACAAGTATGTATCAATTTTTGATCACTTCAATAATTGTGTTGTACATGCTGTGTTCTACATGTTATTGTTCTACATGTTACTTGCTCAGATATAATAATAAGCAATTATCTAACCTTTCTTTTTGTATGATCAGACAGATTGCTTATTATTATCAATGAACAGATAACATGCAGATATTATATAAAAAAGTTTTAATCTACTAGACAACTTGAAAACAAATTTTAATCTTCAACGAATTTATTTTCTTGACTTTAACTGTAGTGGGGCAATGGATGTTTTGTATATATATATTCGGCTGTCTTTATCGTGTTTCCAACGTTTGATTTTTAACTTCAACATGTAAGTATGTTTGCCTCTCTCGTGCGTGATAATATAAAGTGATAACACTACATTTTCAGGATCAATTACAGTTTTAGCGTCGTACGTATATACTAATGTGTGAGATTTGTCGTCAAGTAAGTTCAACTGTTTCAAGAATGATAGATTCGTGACATGATAAGATAGAATTTATAATTTGTAATTTATAATACTGAAGAAGACTCAAGTAGAGTCGAAAAGTATGTTTAAAATTTGAAATTTGATATATTGTTTTAATAATAAAAATAACTTCCGATCATTGCTCGTTAATTTGGCCTGTTTATATTATTTTTATTATTGTGATTTATTTATTAGATATTACGAGCTACGTTTTTAAATTTTAATATTGTAATATTATTATTATTTTTAAAAAAGTTTTGTTGACTTAACTAACTTTTATTTTACAGACTGTTACGTATTACTTTATATTTGACACAGTTTTAGTAAAAGCAGTACATGATCAAAAAATAATCGGAATTTTTAATTTAAACCTCGCGGGCTTATCGGTTTAGAATTCTGTTGTTTGTGTCACGTTGGCAGCACTGTTACGGACACCCATGCCAAGCTTTTGCTTATCAGCTGTTCATTTACCTTTATGACAGTGATTTCTTTACATCAAGTTTTTACGTCGCGGCGATTTTTACAATGGATTCAAACCTTGAACAACGTTCTTGCATTAAATTTTGCTATAAAAATGAAATTAAGTGTTCCAACACAGTAAAAATGTTACAAAAGTGTTATGGTGACGATACTCTATCGAAAACACAGGTGTACCAGTGGTATGAACGCTTTAAAAGTGGTCGTGAGGTTGTTGAGGACAATGCTCGTCCTGGGAGGCCATCGACATCGAAAACTGATGAAAACGTCGATGAAATCCGACAATTGTTGATCGAAAATCGCAAATTGACGATAAGGGAGATAGCTGAGACCACCAACATATCATTCGGATCCGTTTAGAGCATTTTGCGTGAGGATTTCGGTCTAAGGCGAGTCACTGCGAGATTGGTGCCAAAAAAACTGAATTTCGTGCAAAAATTCTCGTGAGTTTCTCGTCAAAAACAACACCAATACCATTCAACAACCGTCCAATTCACCTGATCTGGCACCATGTGACTTCTTCCTATTCGATCGACTCAAAAAACCACTACGAGGAACTCGGTTTGAGAGTGTGGAGGCAATAAAGCTAAAATCGCTGGAGGCACTAATGGCTATACCAAAAATCGACTTCCAGAAAAGCTTCGAGGGGTGGATTAACCGCTGGCACAAGTGCATCGCAGCCGACGGGGACTACTTTAAAGGGGACAACTTAAATTTTGAAAAATAAACATGTACTTTTCTTTATATGAATAAATTCCGGTTATTTTTTGATCATGGTAGTATGTTGGCAAAGATTAAGAATAAAATATACGTGAATCTATAACAGGAAGCTATTTTTTTCCGGACAGTTAACATGGCAAAATCAGCATATTTTACGTTCCATGAAAATTTCTTTTTTTATTACACTCTAAGATCTTGAAGAAGAGGCACAGAAGTATAAAATTTCCATGAGAGTAATAATCTAGTTTATTATTTCTAATAAAATATTATTTAGACATTTATCAATTATTCTGTAATTTTTACAGAGCGCCATAAATATCTTTCTGCTACTACATTAGACAAACAAGTGGATACAGTTATATTTGTTTGGAAGTAAGATGTCTGCAATTTGGTATTCATTTTTAAATATAAAACTCAACAAATCTCACTTGTCATCTTAAATTGTGAGAAGTTGCAAGTACAAAAACACATTTTTTTGTAAGATAGTTTAAAAACTGACAATTATGAACTTTTGAATCATTATCAAAAAGCTTTGCTTAAGAATTTTATTTATCTAAATATCAACTATTTTATACACATACAATAGGCATATTCCAAGCCTGAAATGCAGAATAAATCAGCATCGAGTGTTAGTTGATGCTTTGCAAAATTTCTGATTAAAGCAACACTTAAGATAACACCCAATAAGGTTTTGCTCAGAATTATGTGAATGATTCAGTAGGTAAATACACAAACTGCAATTCATAATAAGATATACAGGGTGTCCCAGAATTGGTTTAACATCTCTCGTAGGCAGGTAGGAGGAATAAAACTGAGTCGAAAAATCCTATATCATTTTGCTAGATTCGCAATAGTTACTGAGATTTTAATTAACAAAGATCCGCGAATAAGCATGCATCGGGCTGTCTTACGCGCGTAAGACNGCCCNNNGCGCTTCGCGCGNTAACGGTGTTACCCATAGCGACATATGGGAGGAGCTAATATAACAGCATATACTATAACATATACATATTAAAATGTAATTGCGCGAAGCGCGCCGGGCTGTCCTCCGCGCGTAAGACAGCCTGATGCACGCTTATTCGCGGATCTTTGTTAATTAAAATCTCAGTAACTATTGCGAATCTAGCAAAATGGTATAGGACTTTTCGACTTAGTTTTATTCCTTCTATCTGCCTACGAGAGATGTTAAACCAATTCTGGGACACCCTGTATATACATATGATGTTAAGAGATAAAAAAAGTGATATCAAAAAGTAGCACTAAGTAAATTTTTAATTATAATACCAAGTAAAGTTTTGTATGTTTACATTTGAAACCTTAAAATTAAAAAAGAATATGCAATAGAAAGTATAACATATAATCAAGAAAAATTTATTTATTGTATTTAATACTTAAATCAAAAATCTTTTTTCTAAAATAAAATCCGCTTTACAAAAAAAGTGATATCAAAAAGTAACACCACGTAAACTTTTGTACGTTATTTATTGAAAAACAATATCAAGAGGCACGGTAGTACCTCGCGCCAAGTTCACGCGCAACAAAGTGGCGCTCGAACTGCGCGAGCACACTGTGTCTCTTATACGTAAAAATCAGGTGTTTCAGTAAAGGGGAGAGTTTTAATCGGCCACTTTTTAATAACGACTGAACCGATCGACTTTTTTTTAGTCTTGTTCGATTTGCGTTAAAAAAATTAAAAAAACAGTATTCTTGCGTTTTTGTTGTTTGTTTCTGATTTTTCGAGATATACGGCGATACAGTTTCAAAGTGAAAACTTTACGATTCAGAAACGTAGTCATTGTCGTCATCGTGCGACCAAATTGTGTGCATGTTTGCATGCCTGCTGCTAGATGGCATACAAGCGCGTTTTAAGACAAAAAAGAAAGAAAGACAAGAAGTGTGAGTAAGAGAGAAAAAGAGA